TTAGTACAGCACTGTCCATCATCTCACATAGGTATTTTTTTTTTGTAAACAAAAGTAGCAAAAATCTATTCATTTGACATGAATCCCATACACAGGACAATTTTATTACTATTATACTCGTGTTCCACAACAGGTCTCTATAGTTCTATAGCATATGTGCCACTTTGTATCAAGTGACCTACGCCTTCTTAAAATACGTTGCATAATTTGTTTTCTAGACAAGACCCTGAATAAACACATGCTATATTACCTATAAAATGCTCAATTAGGTCAAGCAGATCTCTCCCAAAACAGTCAAAAAGATTTTAACAGTATGTTAGCATCAAATCTTGTACCCAATAAGAAAAAAAAAAAAAAGGGGGAAAATGGAAGCAAAGTCTTTGTAAATAGGGAAGGGTGATGGGGGTGAAGGGAGGGCAGGGGAATGAGGAAAAAATAAGAACAAAGATACATCATGTAAAAGTACAAGATCCCAATGATGAATGTAACTGTATTGTTTATCTTAAATGTACTAATAAACTTAATGGAAAAAAATCTTGTACCCAACAGACATAATGGAAGGGATACTATAGGTATTTTTTCCTTATCTCTAATTTTTGCTTTTTCACATTACACATTCACTGTCATGATGAGGAGAGGAGGGAGGAAACAGAAGCTGTCTCATGCTTTTAGTTAAAACTAAGCCAAAGACCTGGAATGAGTAAAGCTTTCCAGTAATGAAAACATTCTGCTAAAAGCATCAAGTGCTGCTGCTTTTATTAACCTCATCAACTCATACAACTGCTTAATTCCATTCACAATTTTTGTAGCTGATCTTTTCCTGTTACACAGTTTAACATCTTTTAAAAGGCATGGTGACAAATTGTTCATGAATGAAATTATACAAAGAAACTTATTTTGATCCTGATTGCCCTAAAATGCCTGCAACTCTCTCAAGAAGTATGACCTCCTAAATCAGAATGTAATAATTAAGTATCCTATGCCTGGAGTACACAACCTTAGCACTTGAAAGTTTCAGAATTTTTAAATTACGTGTAACTTATGCTTGTAAAAGAAAAAGTACAATAGAAAGTAAAAATCAGTTACCTGTAAGAATGAAATAAATCTCCCCATCTGAATCTGACAATCGCCTTCCACTATGCTAGAATCGGTAGCTGTAAAAGGCAACATTAAAAATTATATTTCACTGGTTTGGTTTTTTGAGACAGGGTTTTACTATGTAGCTCAGACTGCCTGGAACGCACTTTGTAGCCCAGGCTGGTCTCGAACTCGAAGTGATCCTGCCTCAACTTGGAGAGCTGGGATTACAGGTGTGTGCCACCACATCCAGCTCAATTTTTAAACTTAACCTGAATAGCAAAACACGAGTGATTTTTAAAAATTTGGACATCTTTTAATCTGCAGAGTACTGAAAACACAATACTTACACTGAAGAGAAAAATGAGACAATCATTAATCATTCAAGGAAAATCTACACATAATTATGTACTTTGTAACAGGTGAAAAAGATTACAGATCAGTTTTAGGGAATTTGCTTCTGCTTCCCCAGGTTTTCTTCACTAATTTAGCTAGACTAACAAAAATCTGAATGCTGATTTTTCTCATAGTACATCACTTGATTATGTCATTCCAGAACTGTCTTGAGCTTTTTGTTCATTTCAATATTACATTATAATTTCGCAATTTTGAAACTTACCTCCTTCTCCATAAAACAAGAGACCATTATAAAACTTCGTTTCGGCCTGTTTAAAAAAAAATTAAAATAAGTGTAAAGGTTATTTGGTTTTTGAATGCATTGATTATCTTAGTTCTCTGTATTAGTAACCATGGACTAAATTATCTATATACAAACTTAAACTCCAAACACTACTTGTAAGTATATTCAATTTATCTTGAGTGCAACACAGCTGTTACTAGCATTTCATGCACGTCATGACTCAAGCCATCTCCGCAATCACCCTCACTGCCCTACCTCCACCCATCAGTTCCAAAACAGCAACCACAAGTGTCAAAGAAAAATGAAAAGACGACATCTACCAGCTCCTATCAGCATGCCAGCGGCTCTTTAGTAAGGAAACACAGACTAAATGCTAAGGTTCAAAGCTTTTTTTAATAAAATCAGCTCCATCTAACAAGCCAGGACACGGCAAGTACAGTAGCACTAACTCTGAGGGACACAGACCTAGATTTAAACCATGACTCCCAGGAGGCTCCTGGTCAAGAGACGCCTTGAAGCCTCAGTTCAGCATCTACTACTCACCCACACCCAGCTGCTGTGAGGTTAACAGAGTCAGCCTGGTGTGGCAGAGGAAGCGCTCAGTGACTGGCAGGATTAATAAATTGCACGACTATTGGTAGTACCAGCATGAGTAAGTCATTCAATATTTACTGCACACTGGGCACACACAGGTATACCTTGTCTTTCAATGATGTTTTTAAAGTTGTAAGAAAAGAATATTAACATTTACCTCATATTTTAATTTCTTGATTTCACAACAAAGTGCAGCATAAACAGTAATGACTTTGTTTAAGACCTAATTTTATGAGTGAAGAGATAAAACAGAAAAAAGGTAAAAACCAAATAGCAAAAACATTGCTTTAGAAATGTGTATTTTGGATTAGGATTTTGTACCTTGTTTTCAGTCTTTATCAGCTCCAAAAGGGAAGACTGTTCATAAGGCAAAAGCTAGAGGAACAAAGAAAAAGTACGTTTCAATTTGAAAAATCACTGAAATTTTAAATACACAAATTGAGCCTAATTTTCTTTGTTTTGAGCCTGGTTAAGTTTAACTTGTGCTGACCCTGTACTCTGAGCTCACATCAAATCAGCTGTTTTGTTCAATGCAATCTCAATAGACTATAAAATAAGAAAAAGTATGACAAATGGTCTCACCGGGACAAAAGCCACTGCAGGGACTCCTGCTGCACGCAGGGACCTGAGGGCCAGGTGAGGAGCAAGTGCACCGGTCACCCTGAATTCATTAGACAGGCCTGAACTTGGTAAAATACTACCACTAAAAGGATCAAAGTAAGTTATTGTACAGAACAGACAAGGAAGAAAAGAGAAAAGAGCATTTTTGACTCAATACATCCACAGCCCAGAAACACCTAACATGCAGTACAAGTCCCCTTCTCCTCTAAGACCACCTCAATCCCCACCTTCATAAAGCATTCCAAATTAACATTTACACGGGATTTTTACAGCAAATCTTAGATCACTGGTGATATGCTAACAACTGCATTTCATGTAGGTAAGTTACACACAAACTTTCTCACGGGGCCGTACTTCTGTCTACAGAGTCGGGGTTTACAACTCTCCTAAAGATGTAAACAACACATCTTCACACTAGAAATACAAAATAGCAGTCCAATAATGGAATTAAAAAGAAATTCCAAAGGCAACAGGGGCGAGGGCATAGGATAAAGTCTGAGAGATTAAAACTCATCTATATGGAAGGTAAAAGCTAACAGATGACTTCATCCTGACAGTTGAGACAAACAGGTCTTCATGGTCATAACTAGTAGAGACTCCTACGGCTAAGAGCACATCTTTAAAACAATTAACAAATAAAATTAACAAATTGAAAAAACATCACCACCCTTGACACTCAGAAGTGTTCAAGAACAAAAGAGACAACAATAAATTTGAGGGAGAAAGAATGTTTAAAGGCAGCATAGCCCACGCGGCCAGCCTGCAAGACAGGAAAGTCAGAAGTTAACTCAGGTCCACAAGTGTGCAGCACACACAGGGATGCGCTCTGCCCTGCTAGGCCCTCCCCACCAAACGCCGCATTTCACTTCACTGAGTCCAGCACGCTGCCTCAGCTTTGCTGTTCTGCAAAGGGAGGTACTGTACCTACATTACAGTGCTGTGGAAACTGAAAGTCAATTATTTGTCCAACACTGTAATAATGAATAGCCAAATTTAAAAGAAGGCAAAGGCAGGTGAGGTGTCTATAGTTTCTGCTAACTGGAGGATGAAGAAGGAGGAGGGCTTGAGGCCAGTTCAAATCCAGCCTAGGCAACACAGTAACACCCTGTCAATAAAAATACAGGGTAGGGGCTGGGGATTTAGCTCAGTGGTTCTGCCATCTGCCTCACATAGGCAAGGACTCCAATTCAATCCCCAGTACCAAAAACAGGGGGGGGGGTAAATGCATAGACATTTCTCCAAAATCAAAATAAATGATCAATAAGCATACAAAAAGATGCTACATCATTAGCCATCAGAAAAATGCAAACCAAAACCATGAGATGACCATTTCACACTCACCAGCATGGCTGCAATCAGAATAATAGCCAGGCATAGTAGCAATACCTATAATCCCTACAATCAGGAAGCTGAGAGAGGAAGATCACCACCAAAGGCAGCCTAGGCTATCTGGTGAGTTCAAGACCAATTTAAACAATATAGCAAGACCCTGTCAAAAATATATATAAATGATAATAAAAATAATATCTGCGAAAGACAGTAACAAGTGTTGAGAATGACATGGATGAATTGGCATCATTTATTGCTGGCAGAAATGTAAACTGGTACAGCCACACTGGCAAAGTCTGGCAGATCCTCAGAAAGTTATATAGTTACCATAGGACCCAGCAAATGTCTCTAAGAGAAATGAAAACGTATGTAAACAAAAACATGTACAAAGACGCTCATTATAACATTACTCACAATAGCCAGGAGTAGAAAAAACTCCACTGAACTGATAAATGGATGAATACTCTCCGTGATAAAAGCATTCCATAACATGGAGTATTATTCAGTAATGAAAAGAAATGAAGTACTAACACATGGTACAACAGGGATGAGCCTAGAATACACACTATGTGAAAGGAGCGAGATACAAAGAGCACATTTTGTATGGTGCCGCTAAAATACAATGTCCGAAAGAGACAAACCCATAGAGCTGCAAAGTGAATTAAATTGCTCAGTGGTTGCCTAGGTCTGGGGGTGCTGGTATGATGGAGAAGGGAGGTGACTACTAGTAGGTAAAGAATTTCTTTTCAGATGGTAAAAATGTTCTAAAATGGTGATGGTTGCACAGTTCTGTGAATACACTAAAATTTTATAATTTAATGGGTAAACTGTATGTATGAATTACACATCAGTAAAGCTATCATAAAGTTAGTGTGTGATTTAGGACAGTGTGTAGTGCCTAAGTGCTCCACAAATAACCCTACATTTTGCTGTATGTAAAATAACCTCAATAAGAAGAAACAAACAAGGCTTGAATATTGCACCCAACTCTATTTTCTTGATGGTGAAAAATAAGGGCTAATGCAAAAATCAGAGTTTGTATCATTCTTTCAAAAAGAAAATTTAAAAAAACACCTGCATGGCCTAGAGAAAAGGAAATTAACAATTTTTCCAAGTTTGTTTTCACTGTTACATTTCAAATAAAAAATATATTTTGTTTTTAAAAATGATACTGTCAAGATATGGTATGCCTTGAAAATTATGTGTATCATTTTTTTTTAAAAAATCAAGTTAAACCTTTAATGCTATAGGATCAAGATTGAAATCCCAAACATCTCCAATTGAATCATCCAGGGCGTCCTCAATTCTTCTCAGCTGTGATGTATAATCCTCAAGAAATTTTCCATAATTCTTCAGTTGGACTTCAGCATGTATTTCTAAATTTAAATTTTAAAACAGGACAATTACAAGTAATGAATTACAGAACATTTCCTTCAAATAACCTCACAAGTCACACAGTGAAACAGTGTTAATCATTACTTTGGAATGTCTCAACTTCTTGAAAATAAAGCTCCAAAGTTAAACATTCAGCTTTTAATGTTTTCCAAATACTTAAAACATTTTAAAAGCAGCAGCCCATTTGCCCCATAATCTAGGGTTTACCAGTCTGAACAGTGTACAATTAAATAACTCAATGTACTATTAGGTAACTCACTGTCCTGCTTTTGTTTTAGTCATAAATAACTTCATAGAAAAAAAAAAAACATTCACAACTTAACCTAAAGCAGCTACAAAAGCCTGTGTTGATATAGAATATTTTAAAATGTTATTTAAAATGTTAATTCTGCACCTAGTAAACTTAAAAAAATACAATGACACTTTACCACACCCCCTTGGGCAGTATGGAAGACTGGACCCAGGACCTTTGTACTGAGCTGCATCCTCAGCCCCTTTTATTTTTTGTCTGAGACAAGGACTCACTAAGTTGCTCAGGCTGGGCTCGAACTTGGAAATCCTCCTCCCTCAGCTTCCCAGAGTGGTGACATTACAGGCATATGTCACCATGCCCGGCTTCTAAGTATTTTTTAAGTGAAAGGTTTAGACCTGCTGTAGTATAGTGGATATTATCCCTTAATGCCTACAATTTACCCAGATATTTTATTGGCTTAATTATCTAGCTATCATAATTGAGCTGGAAAAGCCAATAAAGAAGGCTAAGTATAGAACACTGTGCTATTTGCAGACTGCACACAGTAATGGAAGACGTTTAGCTGAGAGTCACCAGAGTTAAGTGGATTTTAAAACTGTCCATTCATTAAAATGGATGAAAGCAAATATTCCATCTTATACATGAGAACTCATTACTTATTCCTAAAGGCAGCAAATTCAACTTAAACTCAGTTTCTTTTATTGACTGTAACTTTATTCAATGTCTTCTAAAAAAAAATGTATCTCTTCAAGTTAGCAACACAATGCATTTAGGTATAAAGATCTCCCTCCCTGCGTCCTTCATTTTGCAGTTCCTGCTCTGAATCAGGTGAATCAATTTGGCTCATCATGATCCCTATCTTATTACAGCATTAACCTAGGCGATTCTGGAGAAGCAATTAATCTAGATTTGATTCACTGTCCCAAAATTAATGAAAACCAGGCACAGAGAAGAAAGAGATGAACAGTCCTCTCTTCCCTATGCTAAACATTTTGCAAGCGTCTCAGAAGCCCGTGTTGGTGTCTAATTCTCAGTTATATGAGGAATGACCTGGCAGTGCTTCATGTGACCAGAAAATGAGCTCTTAAACACTGAGCAAAAACATGACGAGTCACTCCTCCAGGCTTACGGGGTCTCACAGATAACTCATCACAACATCAGTGATAACACTAACTTTCTCACTCAGTAATGAGTAATTATAAACTAGTAAAAATGCAAAGTTTTGATACAGAAACTACATAGTTATTCCTGAGACTTCCAAAGACCCATGTATGCTCATCTCTTCCAACAGATTCATTCATCTTTGTATCCCTAAGACTGGAGAGTAGAAAATGTCTATTGAATCAGGTTATCCTACTTCAAGCTGAACCACTTTCAAACTTAGTAATGTATCCGCATCCCTATGTTTTAGAAGATACTAACGCAGGCAACTTTAGCCCATAAAACATCAGACATGACAGTGCAGTTCAGAACACTGCATACAAGCATAAAGATTACTGACACTACCTCCAACGCTGCGTAATATCTAGTAACATGGAATGCTGCTTGTAAAACTGCAAACCATCCTAGAGGTTGCTAACCCTTCTTTGATAGGCGAATAAAACCTAATAGCATATAAGTTAGTAAACATTAGTCTGTCTCTGTAAAATACAACAAAATCCAGCTAGAATTTTTTAAAAGGACATCTCACCTTTTGGGAAAACTAAACATTAAAAAATCCACACAGCATAACCCACTATCTGTTTCATATACTGAACAATATCACCAACTGTTAACTTGTATTACTCTTGTGTTTAACCCTAGGGGTATTCGTTTTGCCTCTATATTTTGTTGGGGAAAAACTGCATTTAGGTTTTACTTGGGCTTCTAGGTTAACAGAGGACTAGCTTTCACGAAGCACACTGTCACTTCCGAAACGTCGGCAGGCAGCGCAAAGAATCACAGGACATCCCTGTAAACACCACTGTTCACCGACAAGGGGCCTGGCAGGGGACAAAATGACATGCACGTGGCCATTTATTTTTCCTTCCGTGAAGAACTAATTCCTCGCCACCTTCTACGCTTCCAAGAATGTGCACTAAAACTTAACAGAAGTTGGTTTGACAGGAAAAGAACAGGAAACCGAAACAGGAACCCAGGGCGGCTCTGGCGAGAGCCGGGACACGGCGGCGGGGCCGGGCTCCCGGCTTGGGTCCCGCCGCGCCCAA